CACACACACACACACACATATATATATATATATATATATATATATAAATTTAAATTTAAATATATTTAAACTTTATTTATAGTGAATTTATAGTCAATATTGATATTTATATAGACGAGAATCATTTAGTTTAGAGGCGCTAGTTTAAGCTTGCTTGATCGCATCCGGTTCGTTAAGACACGTCGGATTAATCAATCAATGACAATCCTGCCATTGTAATCCTTAAATTCCATTGCTTAAGAGTAATAGTTAATTTATAGTTATATTGTTGTGACAATATTCAAATGTCCGTATAAATAAAATAAAATAAATATATTTTAATAAACTTTTAATTTCTTAGATTTCGAATTTCACCTTCTGAATAGCAAATTGTTGTGTATGAAAATATATTTAGTTATTTAGAATTCTGCTTCCATTTGAATGTATTATTATTATTATTATTATTATTATTATTATTATTATTATTTTAGTTTCTTTGATTTCTGGCGTTTACACATCTCTTTCCGAGTCCCGCCCAGGGACCTAAGGTTAGAAATGGCATCATGACACTTTCCACTGATAAAAAAATATTACATAGATAAAGCCTTTCGTAAAGTGTGGGCTTTACTTGTCTGTTGAGATGTTGTGAGTTTCCCACGTGTCGTGTATGAATCAAGACAAACACAGTTGTAGAGGAAAATACTGGTATATTCATAAAAGCAATTAACAATAGAGTGATTAGTAAAACGAAGGTTGGTTAGTACGAAACAATATCCAAAATCTATAGTCCAAAGGTATGTAACAGGTAAGCTTATCTGGACTGCTGACGCTCTGTCTCTCGCTCTCTCGTCCTCTCTCTAGAGCTGACTTATATAAGAGGGACCAGTCCATTTCTAGTTAGAAGGTGGGTGGGCCCCAACATTGTCAGAACAATTTTTTCTAACTCCTTGAGGCATGGACTTCCAGGAAATCCTTCAATTAGTCCTAGGGCTCCAACTACAACAGAGATTGTTGATGTTCCCATATGCCACATTCTCGAGATTTCTATTTCAAGGTCCTTGTATTTTGACAGCTTTTTGAATATTTTCGAAGATACATTGCAGCCAGCAGGGACTGCCATATCAATAAGGAGGCACTGTTTTGTTTGTGGTCTTTAATAACAATACCTGGTCGGTTGGCTTTGATTTTTCTGTCAGTGTGTATTGTGTAGTCCTATAGAATTGTAACAAGATTTTCCAGTGCAGATATTGGCCGGGTTTTATATTCAGTGGGTGCCAATATCGTGCAGCCTGATACAAGATGATCAATCGTTTCTGCATATTTATCACAGAATCTGCATTTTGGGCTGACACAATATTTTAGTATATGTGCTTGATATTGGCCATGAAGCTGTTTATCTTGACATCGCTTCTGTATCTGATCGATTGCATTCGTCTTTGCTGTCTTTTTTTAAGTATTTTGCAGTTTCAGCCGGTGTATTGTGCTGTAGTTGCATCTCTACGCCCATTTGAAACTGTTGGCTTCTTTTATTACGGAGTAAAGACGCTTACTACTTTCCTGTTCCTTGACGCATACCATCATCCAGTCTTCTGTCGTTTCCAAGTATCTTTGGAGGCCAACTGTTGTAGTTTTGTAGGACAGTTCTAGTTGAACTATTCCTCTGACTCCTTCGGATCTGGGCACATAGAGACGGACAACATCAGCTTTGGGATTATGCATGCGGTTGCAAGTGAGAAGCTTTCTCGTTTTGACGTCCATTCGCTTAATTTCAGCTATGGTCCAGTTAAGGACATTAAAGCTGTATTGCACCACAGGGACAGCCAATGTGTTTATGGCTGATATTCTGTTTTTTGAGTTTAGTTTAGTTTTTAGTACCAGACGTACACGCCTGTAGTACTCTTTTCTTATTTTTTCCTTCATTCGGGGTTGTTGTATGCCATCTCCTTCGCTAATTCCTAGGTACTTATAAGCTTCACCATGCTCCAGTTCCCTAATCTTTGTGACAAAATCTAAATCTATTAAGGGTGTTTCTGTAATTCTACCTTTCTTGAATGTTACTTTTGCACATTTATTTAATTCGAAGTCCATACCTATGTCGTCACTGAAGTATTTTACAATATTGAGGAGGCCTCTCAACTCATTGTCGTCTTTGGCAAACAGTTTGAGATCATCCATGTAGAGTAAGTGATTGAATATTTTCTTATTTATTTTGTAACCATAGCTACTGTTGTTCAGTTCATGTGTAAGAGGGATTAAGGATAAACCAAACAGAAGGGGTGACAGAGAGTCTCCTTGAAAGATTCCACGTCGGTTGGATATGGCAGTGCCCCCGGTGTGACTAAGGTATAGTTTGGTGTTCCACATTCCCATGCTGTGCTTAAGGAAATTTAATACCACAGGGGAGACTTTGTACATTTCCAAAGTCTTAAGGATTCAAGAATGTGGAACACTATCAAAGGCTTTACGATAGTCAATCCACGCTGCACTAAGATTTCTTCTTCTTCTTCTTCTTTTTTCTTCTTCTTCTTCTTCTTATTATTATTATTATCTCTACCTATAAATAGCATTCTATGAGTGTGTTTGTCATCTTGTTGCCTCATCCTGAGCAAACCGTTCATCCGATTAACATGAAAATTCACACACAAATCGGAAATTTACGACATACTTACTTGACATCTTCGGACTTTTCGATTGTTTCACCGATTTTGGAAAAAATCGACAAAAGCGATAGGATGTCGAATATTGATTCGAAAAAACTTCATTAGTTTATCAGTGATAGTTTTCACAAATTACAAGTGATATACACCAAACTCACGTTGAGCAATGTCCTTACTTATAGTTTTGAGGTTCTTTTCTTTGTTTTTAAAAATTGATCTCAATTATTGGAAAAAATCGATAAAATCGATCACTTTGGGACATCCGATTCAAATCCAATGTAACTTATTTGGGTCTCTGTTTTTCGAAAACTCCAAAGAATTTTCTCGAAAATCATGTTGAGCATTAGTTTTATCAACAGTTATTAGTTGCTGACCTTTTTCTTCAATATCCTTAGCAATTATCGGAAAAAAATCGATAACATCATGCAACTTTTGATTTCCAATTCAAATCCAGTCAAGCTGAGTTTTGGCTATATTTTTCGCAAATGGCGAAGAATTTCCACCAAAATTACGTTGAGCATTGTTTTTTATCAACAGTGATAAGGTGCTGACATTCATTTTCAATGTGGATATTAATTACTGGAAAAAATCGATACAATCGATCACTTTGGGACATCCGATTCAAGTCCAGTCTAGCTGATTTTTGGCTATATTTTTCGCAAATGGCGAAGAATTTTCAGCAAAATTCCTGTTGAGCATAGTATTTACCAAAAGTATTGAGGTGCTGACTTTCGTTTTCAATATAGGTTTCAATTATCGGATAAAAACCGATGAAATCATACACCTTTGACATCCCATTCAAATCGAATTTACCTGAATTTGGCGATGTTTTTCGTAACTTGCTTGGGATTTTGATTAACTTTATTGGCTTTAGTCGTGACAATTAAAACATCTGCCCTGTGAGCTCCTTTGCGACCAACTAATACCTAAGGTAAGTCGATACAATCATGTCTTCATCGGAATTTGCGAATACACCAATCAAACTACAGACTCTACAGCTGATTGTTATACACATACGTTTGACCATGCTTCACATAGCGGTATCTCATTGGCTGAGTGTAGTACGCGGTCGCTTATTGGTGTTCGAGACCCTAGGACGCTCGCTAATTGACCAGTAATACTTCGCATTTGAACCTGCTGTGCAGAGCTGTGGGGCGTAGGTCTCACTTCTGCTCCTGTTACGCCGTCTTCCGGTTTATCCGATAGGCTCCTTCAACTGATCATTTCTCCTACCGCAAGTTGTTTCTTACGTTTTTGTTTTCCGTTTGTCTGTTTAACTACATTTTCCCAACTACAATAAATAATATATTCAGCTGTTTTACTTAAATACCTGCCTTCCCCATTCTGGCTCACGATTTGCGATACTAAGTTAGACTTTGTACTCCTACAATTGAGCAGCCCTAATCAACCACTACAAGCATCACTTTTCCCAATGCCATCAAAAAGGAGGGTACGTCTTAGCCTTCGGTCTGCAAGAGCGTCCGCTATGAGTGCAAGAAGAGCCCGCGAGTGACAGGAGCAGACTACAATGCGACTATCACAGGTTGCTTAACGCAGCGCCATCACGCAGTCCTCGCAGTCACAAAACAGGCGTGCCAACTGCTTGGCCGGGAAATCTGCCTACAGGACATCGTTGCGACCAAGGCTCAATGCTCGAGAATGAACGCACAAGCTGCAGCAACCGCCTCTGCATCTCGGGCTTCCGAGACTCATCATCAAAGGCGTCTTCGTAACGCAAGAAACACTGCTGCTACTGCGAAATCAAGGGCAATAGAGTCACTTGACTGCAGCCGCTAGGGCTGCTGAGACGCCGCTCCGTAGGATCTGTGCGAAATGCTGCGTATGCTGCCACCACTGCCAGATCGAGGGCAGTAGAGACACCTGCTCGCAGGCGGGACCGTCAATCTAGGGTCGCTGCTGCAACGGCGACCACTAAGGGCTGATCGCTAGGTCTATTCGAAATGATAGAAATACGGTCACCACTGCTAGGTTGAGGGCAGCTGAAACATTCAACCGCAGACGCCCCCATCAATCCAGGGACGCTGCTGCAACACCTAGGTCTAGGGAGTCCGAGAGAGCTGCAGCGGGCAACCCGCAATACCCACAACGATACAGCTATTTCTGCTGCCAGAAACTCCGAGGGCCCACAGATTAGGGCAAACTTTCAAGGTCTGCTACAAATATGGCCGCTGTGCTCTGCTGCTCCTCCGGCAAAGTTCGACTGCTACCTCTGCATGAACACCTACCCAGTTAAGAGGACTAATAGCCGGCTCCCATCCCGACTCCAACCACTTCCTTAAAACAATTAGGCAATACAACAACTCTTTTCAAATGGGGACTTAGGTGATTCGAGAAGAGGGTTGGATGCCAACTTTCAAATTACAGGAGCAGGTATACCAACGCATTGGGTCTCTACTGCCTGAGGAGACCTCTACGCCTAAATTCCTTCAACTGTACTTTATTGCAGACTACAAACTACAGGCCGAAACCAGGATTGGTGTTTTGCCGCCGTCGGGAAGAATTCCTCGCAGCGACGTCATACTACTACTTCAGGCCATGATTCACGAGGTTAACAGCTACATTCGCAATTTCAAATATGCTTTGAAAAATGCTCCCTTTACTTCCTTCATTGTAATTGAAGTCGACAAACCGCCTCATGATGACCACGAACGCCGCTACAATGCTCCTGCTTGCAACGAAGTCGCCGCTATTATACATGGGAAGGAAGAACGTAATCGCTATACTGTCCTCAATCAAGAAGCGGCGCTCTTTGCAGGATTTCAGAGACCCATCGATCATATGACACATTTCAATTCCCTTCACTTTTCCCTTGTGGTGATGATGGCTACCACTTCGGCATTCCCCTTCATACTCCGGGTAGCCAACCTACAACGTCTTCCAAAGCCTTATCGTGCAAGGCCTTCTACTCATACTGTTACATGGTTAGGGATGGAGACTAACATACTTCATAGATGGAGGGAGCTTTTCCACCAGTTTGTGGTTGACATGGCCGCTAAGATGGAATCAGAGTGGCTTTGTTTTATACGGAATCATCAGAAACAGCTGCGGTCAGACTCCTACGTACACTTACGAGACAGCCTTCGAAATGAAGTCAATCCCCGCGACCTATGGAAGCTGTGTATTCTGCCCTCTACCTACACTGGGGGCCGCGTTACATGCATGAACGCACGCAGGACGCTATGACATACGTTAGGCAATATGGGCGGCCAGACTTATTTATAACGTTTACCTGCAACCCCAAATGGGTTGAGATAACGCATGAACTCCTACCCAGACAGGATTACACTCACAGACATGACATTACCACCCGCGTATTCCACTTAAACTGGGCAAACTTATGCACTTAATAGTGATGGGGTGACTCCTACAGTGAAAACGAAACCACTATTTTACATTGCCAGAATTAAAAATCTTGACCGAATATGAACGGGTGGCAATCATCGGGTAAGCACGGAACAGCAACACAGCAGCCACCTATTGCCACGGTTGCTCTTGATTTTGGTACCATTGAGATTCCCGGCCTGTTAGTGACCTCAACAACTGCGGATACAATAATTCAAACCCTAAAGGAATTTAACTACATAAAACGCCGGGCTTTACTCCGAGTAAATGTTAGGTATAAATCCTGTCAAGTACGACCGTAAAAAATAAATGCAACGTTATTCTCTCTCTCTCTCTCTCTCTCTCTCTCTCTCTATCCTTGTATCTTGTTCTTGTTATTTTTCTTTATCTGAATTAAAGTTAAACTCAGTTACCCCTTGCGTCTTAGCAGGTTTTATCCCACTGCATACAGTGAAATGTTTTTATAAAAATCTATGGATACTTCTGGTGTAAATAACCTTCATATTTGAACATATTGAATCTGAAAATGTTTTTTTTGGTTTGCAGAATTATAAATATAGCTGTCCAACATTCCTGTTATTTGAAGAGGGAATTTCCATAAAAAGCATAACATACTTTTGACTTTTGTGAATTGCAAACTGAACTAGTTCGTACGTAATCAGATAAACTGAGAGATTAGCAACTGATCTCTCTTGTAACGTATTTCTCACAGTTAACTCTGTGAAAATTTGCTTGTAAACTTGAATAGCGTCACATAAATCGCGTGCATTTTCATTATCACTCTGGGTTGCCTCCTGTTAAGGTGTACGTTTATACTTTTAATTATGAAATTTGTTTTAATACATTAATGAACAAATGTTTCCCAAAGATCTCATATAGAACATATACACAATTCACCGTTAAAGCCGGTGGTGAATGTTCGGTTACCTGTCACTCTGTAAAATGTATCTGTTTCCTCATGCGATTATTTATACTTAAAAATGTTAGGACTGAGCACATATGGTGTATTTCTACTATATCTGTGGGAAGGTGTCCAATTCTCTCTTTCCACAGTGAGTTCCACAATTGTACGTGGTCTTATAGGTGAGGAATTATTTTCCAACCTGCAACCATTTACCAGCAGACGAAATTCCGCATGTCTCTTCCTACTCCATCGCTGTTTCAATAGCAAATTATCTAACAGGCAACATTCTTTAAATCCATGAGTTAATCCAAAGCTAAGACCCTGCACTGTCACTTACACAATATTTAATCAACGCCATTACCTTCAAATTTCATTAGTAAGAGGGGAATTAGATTCGACGGTTCCTTCCTAACAACAGTTACATTTGGAACATACATCCAAGAGAATTCTTCCCCCGTTCACAACAATCTTAATATATTCAAGTCTCAGGTCAACAGCTATTTCCTTTCAACAACTTCATTGGGTAACCCTCAAACTTTAGTGACTCTAGCATTTTACCTAGTGTGAAAAAGATGCATGCGTGCTCTTTATTTGATCATAATGCGTTTTAAACTTTTGTTGATTTTTCTCGTTCTAAGGAACAGTAACTTTCCAAAAATTGCCTTAAGCACAACAAAAGATACAGAGGATACCGTTGAATGTTCAGATTAATCTTTGGTTATAATTCTAGAAAGAAATCTTGTAGGAATAAAAGCGCTGATTGAGATCAGTTAATATGAGAATTTTGTCATGGGTAGATAACAAAATACAACACTTGCTAAGAGTCACAGAAGGAGTTGTGGAGAGATATGATCGCCCATATAATTAAAAAGTCTATTTTATTTCCTCTTTTTTCATCAGTCATAATCATTTTTTTCCCCATAATAATTACTACATATATAACAGTGATCCAAAATATCCAAATAGTTCACTGCAAACAAGGTAATTACACAGGGTACGGCAGAATTACATCACACATAATGGCAAAACATTAGCGAGATGAAAACAGCATTTCCACTAGTGTCTTACCAGTATGTGGGAAGTTTTTTTTTTTTTTTTTTTATGGGAGGAATATGTGCGAGATATTTCTCTCGGACCCTGTATTTGTGAAAGTGGCTTATTACCATAAATGAATGGATGACAGTAGTTTTAAAAATATATATTGTAAAAGATTTAAACCTAAAATCTACTGTAATGAACTCATAAATAAAACGATTCAAAATATATTTGACTGAAAATATATTGCGCATTATAATCAGTTGACGCCATATTTTAAAGATTAGTGGTTTTATTGCTAATTGTAATATAGTGTATTAACTGTGGTGATGTAAATATTAATGAAAAAGTACAAAACTTCAGTGAAAATACAGCAAAAGAGAAATGTTTGGATACGATTTTTACAAACAAGGGAATATTCTGGATGTATATAGAAATTTTGACACGCGACAATAACAAAACCCGAATTAGAAAAGGAAGTCAGGAATAATGCAGTCCTGAAAATATGTAAAATATACATACCAGGCCATGAGGCATTACAACAAACACAGGAAGAAAGCTCGTTGCAAGAACCCGTTAAAGATATTCGAAATTATGGAGTATGAACAGGGAATCTGTACATGTATAAGTAAAATAATAGCAAGGAAGATATGATGCAGTACAATGACAATAACGGAAGTTGAAGGCGAAAGATTGTGTGCAAGTAGCAGGAAGGAATGGCGTCCAAATCAAGTATATAATGTAAATGTTCGAAAGGAAAAAGTCAACAAGATTTTTTTGTATGTATTAGAAAATGATAAAGAAATCAGGATTGAACCAGTTTAAAGAATGATGTGGAAGTAAAGCCGAAATAAATTATACAATGGCAAATAAAATAATTTAGTGAACACAGAAAAAAATCTCGTAAATAATATTAACGAACAGCTGAATATCATTCATTTTAATTCTATTATAACAAGACAACTAAAGTAAATGAAACAGATTAGAGAGAGCGAGCAGAATTGAACAAATGAAAAATGACTTATATTATAAAAACAACCTAATGAAAATAATAGAACAATGAAAGAAAATGTAGTCTGAAACGTAGAAATAAAAATATATATGGAATAATATTTTAAGCAACTTTAGCAATATATAAATTACACCTAATTTCTGGAACAAATATATTCAAAACATTGAGCTTCCCTGAGAGTGCAACCATTTATAATGACTGCGGGAAACTCGGGATCTAAAGTTTTTTTTTTGTTGTGATCATTGAACTGAAATTAAGGTTATAATATCACTAAGGCGCAAGTGGTTACTGAAAATGAAAGAAACTCAGAAGATTCTAGTGAAGAGAACGGACAAGAAAAGAAAATGTATTAGGAAGACTGAAGATATCGATTGACATTGCATTTAAATATTTGAAAATTGTAGTTGGCTGGGAAGCAAGAAAAAAAGTCGTTCCGCAGACGAGAATTTTCAAGAAGAAAATAGAAATATTAGAATGTCTATATCTCGCTAGTTCAACAGGAAAACTGTGAGACCTAGTTGCCTATTTAGTAATGTTTTAGTGCATGCATTCGAGGTACCAAGGAGGAAAGATCCTCAGAACAACTGCCATGAAAAATTATAGAATATACATAGAAAAAAACCATGTTATGTCGGAGGGAAAGTGATTGAAATCGAGATGCTAGGTTAGAACATTACATTATAGACCATATTTTGTTTTTTTTTTTGTTTTTTGCTGAGAATCCTGAAATATATATAGCAGAAGCAACAGAAAAGATATGACATTAATATACAATGCTCGGATGCATTATATAAGTGTAAATTGAAAAATGGTTTATGACGAGAAAAACTGTCTGGTAGAACACCGTGAATCAATTTTCTTGGTGGTAGAGGTAGCAGTTCATTGAATATAATCACGATACTTCATGTCAGTAGAAGATGTGAGTCCAACAAGGCGACATGAATTCCTCTATTTGACGTCAGTCATGTTGATGAAAGGCAGAAAATGTTTTCTATGGTGAATAAATAATATCAGTTCTGTTTTGTAGGCGTTAAAATTAACAAGCCATCCCATACTAAAATTAACCACGAATTGGAGGTCATTTTTAGAACAGATTTGTCGGACGTATCGAAGCTACGAGTAAGGCAGGAGTAAGTAGTGGTTTTATGAGCATAAATACCTAGTTGGAAACTGATGACATTGGTAAGGTCGATGATGAAGATAACCAACATCGGAGATCCCGGTGTAACATCGCATTAATAAAAAATGATCAAGAAGGGTGTTCTTTCAACAAGGCCTTCATGCCATAATTTGTTAACGATTAGTTTAAGTCAAATATTCGTCCAAATTCACCATTGTCATTAATCTTGTGAAGAAGGCTAAAGCAGAAAACTTTTTCTAACGCCTTCGAGATATCTAAAGCTATAGCCTTAGCCTTGTCATTCTTGTCTTAAACGTGATAGAAAATTCAGAAGTAAGCGTTAACACCTCGGCGGTAAACCTAGAGAAACGAAAGCCACACTGTTTATTCGAAAGAAAACCGTGTTAAGATTGACGATTACCCAATTCGGCATTGACTAAAGACTCTAATAATTTGCCGAAAAGTGATATAAAACTCATAGCTGATAATTTGTAGAGGCAGTAGGTTCCTTAGAATTCATGAATAATGGATCTACAGAGGAGCATTTCCAACAAGCAGGAAGGCAACAAGCAGCAAATAATATATTGAAGAGTTTAAGAGGAACCAGGATATGAGCACATTTACTTATGAAAATTATAGGGATACTGTCAAGTCTGCAAGCTCTACGGGGATCAATGTAATTTGGAAATTGGCATGGATGTTTAAAGTCTAATGATAATAATAAAAGAAAATGAGGAAATTGTATTATACTTTCTTGCTGAACAAGAATA